AAACATCAATTGATCATGTAATTTCAGATAGGTGAGGGTAGCCTCACGATATCTCAATATTGGCCACCATTAATTGGATATTTGAGTGGAAGTATGAGTGGTTTAGGTTAATTTCCCATCCTTTGTGGGCTCTGCCTTTCAAGCAGCAGAAGGGCGCATTTGCCGATGTACTGTTAGATGATCATGTTTACTTTGCATGCTACCGGTAGAAACTTTGAACAGTTGGCTAAACATTGTGGTAAGTAGACCTAATGTACTTATTTCGCCAACCAACATTGGCCTGCCTAGTGACGTTAGCTAACATGATCCCCTTTTCAAGTTTAAAGTTTTATTAGTCATATGTACGGGATACGTATGGTATACATCGTCCAACGAAATGCTTACTTGCAGGTTCCTTCTCGAAAATGCAACAATAAGAAATAATAAAAGATAAGAATACGAATATAAAGTAAATGGCTCAGTAGAATTGAATAAACCTTTTAGCATAAGTATAATACAGGAAGGCACAATTTATAGTACAATATTTACACGCGTATAAACGGGGGGCAGTGTATAAACTGAGCAGCATTGTGCTGACAGACATGAATAGGCTACATTGATTGATGGACCAAATCAAATTGGCTAGCTAGCTAATAACAGATCACGTCAATATGGCTAGTTAACAAGCTAACTTTCAGGGGATAAACTAGATGGCTATATTTGTTTGCCATCTATAGTGGTGATGATGGTAGTCAACTTTAACAACTCTACCAGGACGAGGACTTGCCGATGTCAGGCTTTTTCCAAAAGCCTAATTTCTGATGAAGCAAGCTAATGACACATATTGTTTGCTTAGCTAGCTAACTAGCTACTTGCCAAATGGATAGGCTACCCTCACATATCTGAAAATACATTACCAATTGATGTTTACTGATCATGAAAAGCATGCAGCTACTTGCTGTATAACTCTGATAGCGCTAATGTGGAATAATCGGAAATGTGTAGTTCTGACTATGCTCTTCAAGAGGTGATGATATCACAACCAAATAGTTATAACATTTATTCAACAATCCCTTGAAAACAGCCCGTAGTTGTCAATGGTTTTAGCGGAGCTGGGGGTCTTCTTGCCCCCCCCCAGCAGCCAAATCGAACGGTCTGCACCGTATTGTGACGTTTTATTGATAACGACCTATTTGCCAGGAAATGCCCCAACCCCCAAACCCTAAGACCTCCAGTAGATCCCAGAGAGAGAGAGAGAGAAATACAGTACAGAAACATTATTGACTTGAACCCTGCAAAAACATTACATTACCAGAGAGCACTTTGGCTGATCCTCCACCTGCTTTTAATGAGGACAGTTTCTTCGATAGCAACCCACTCATCAATAACACCTGACTGACAGCCAGAGAAGACCATTGATCAGGCCCTTTTCTGCTGAGGCAAACCCCAGCGCTGCTGCCTGCCCAGGACTCCCATTATAATTAGGAAACTATGCTGTATAACTGGACTGTTTGCCCCCCCCCCCCACACACATATCTCAACTGCCTATTCTGTTTGCCTCATGGAGAAACAGACCAAGTAGAGATGATGTGTAAATAAATCAAAAGGGAGTTTCATGGCAGTGTGCATGGTCAGCAAGCCCAGCTCACCCCAGCCCGGCTCTGCCTGCCTGCACCCTTGACTGCTAAATAAGTTATAAACCACAGAGTCAGGTAACTTTCCTCCTGCACTGTCGTCTGCTGAACGCCTTCAATAGCACCGAAGTACTGAATGGCCCCTCTCAAGATATACAATGTGTTTTGCCGTCCGGTTGTATTACGATAGCTAAAGTTATTGATGATGTTGTCAGGGGAACGTCTCATCATTGCTGAGGGTATACCTGACAGTTTACTCCAAGCAGGATGCGATGGGAAGCTGGATTTACAACGTCCACCCCCCACTCTCAGAAACACCCAACAGTTTGTCCCTTCTTCACAGTGCACGCATCTTTCGAGCCACTGCTTTATTTGTCTTTCTTTAGAGGATCATCCCTTTCATCTCTTTTTCCTTTCCTCTCCTCAGTCCTTTTCTCCAATGCCAAGGTACCCAAAATGGCACCCCTGAATCACATACTGTAACTATTATTACTAAACATCATAAACTTCCATTAACCTCAGTAACTCTCCCACAATGCAATCGTCCAATGTTTTTGTCCTTTCTTGTGTTTTCCCAGCGTACAATGACAGATCACTACTGAAAAGACCATTGAGGCCCAATGTAAGTGGGCCCAGAGTAAAGTGGCAGGCAGGAGGACAGTGAGATTACTTGAAGTGCAATCCCCCACTGCAGCTGTAATATTGCTTTCTCGGTTGGGCCTATCCTCCATCCTTGCCTCAACCCACCACAAATGAGATTCTGCCATCTGTGCTGCAGGGCATCATGGCAGAGCTTGTAAACGTCTCCCCAAGTCACTGGAGGCTGGATGTCTTCTCTGGGAGAAGCAGTTTAAACGAACCCACCCCTCTTCCATCAGAGTGGCTGCACAGAGCGTATCAAGGTTATTGTCTGATGAGTTCTCTGTTATTTTTGGTCATCCTTGAAACCCGTGTAAAAGAACTTTGATAAAGGATCAGGGAGACAGTTGACTTCTCTTCAACCATTTTTGCAAGAGTCTGCAAAGTGGCAGAAAAACACGGCTGTGGCGACTTTGTAATCTCCTTCGTTTGGTGAATAACAACAATATGAGTTCTGTCGGTCTTATGTTGACATATCATGGGGTTACACTGGAACACCAAGTCTGTGATGTAATGATCATATAGTACGTTGAGAACTAATACAAAGTGTATCGTATTTGAACACTTCCTAGACATCCCACTCCAGTATTCAACATCGCTGGAGGTTTTTACAGACTAAGAGTCACAATCTTGCCACAAAGAACCAAACAATACTTGGAATGGAATGGATGGACAGGTTTCTTTCTCTGTAGGGGACCAGAAATGCTGAGAGTGTGGAGTCAGTATTGCCTTTCCCTTTGGGTCTTCTTCGACCCTGGTCTTCTCTAGCTGAGTATAGCCTGAGCCGGGTCTTTTACCACCCTGGCCTGAGCTGCCTCTAGCCCTCTCAACAGACTGATCTCCTGCCTTGGCAAAACATTTGACTTACCCTAACTAACCACCGCTCCTCTCACACACATACACACACACACGCTCTCTCCTCCTTCCCAATGCAAATGTGGAGCTTTCAGTTATCCGACTTAGTGTGCTGTCGGAGCCAAAGACTGACACCACTGACTCCACAGACATAAACGGATCTCCTCTCAAAACCTGCAGCTTATATACGTCCCGAGGTGCCAGCAGATTTCTGCGCACAGACGATCCGCTTTGGAGAGGGAGCGTGACTGTGAAATAAGATGCAATAGCTGCAGCAGCATTGGCCCCAGCAAGTTACAGTTTTATCTGAGCCTCACGTGGAATGAAAATTACTTTTTGGGGCAGGTAAACGCAATTCTGTTAGCTGGCTGTCTAGAAACGTTGTTTGATGACAGAAAGATGATTAAAGGCGCATGAAGCGAAATGAACGTTAGATCGTACTAATGACCGTATTAAACGTATTAATGTAAACCATTGATGTAGCAAGCCACGATAGATCACATATGGTCCAGCCCCATTAGAATAGGACTCACAGCTTCTTCTAGATGGAGTCTGAGTGTGTGCTTGTCTGAGGCAAAGGAAAGGGGTGGGTGGGTTATAATGTAGAAGGTTTGCTCTCCTCTGTTGAATGAGTCTTTCTAGTCCATTTCAGGAGGTAAAGTAGCATCACAAACATCCAACAGTATATCACAGGAGCCGGGGTAAAAAACATCATTACTTAGGAATCAATAAAAGAGCGTGCCTGGTCGAGACGTTGTCTTTTCCTATACAGCCACAATAAAGTGCACCACTGGGAGCACTACACTACTGGGAGCACTACTGGGAGCACTACACTACTGGGAGCACTACTGGGAGCACCACTGGGAGCACTACACTACTGGGAGCACCACTGGGAGCACTACACTACTGGGAGCACTACACTACTGGGAGCACTACACTACTGGGAGCACCACTGGGAGCACTACACTACTGGGAGCACTACACTACTGGGAGCACCACTGGCAGCACTACACTACTGGGAGCACCACTGGGAGCACTACACTACTGGGAGCACCACTGGCAGCACTACACTACTGGGAGCACCACTGGGAGCACTACACTACTGGGAGCACTACACTACTGGGAGCACCACACTACTGGGAGCACCACACTACTGGGAGCACTACACTACTGGGAGCACCACTGGGAGCACTACACCACTGGGAGCACTACTGGGAGCACCACTGGGAGCACTACTGGGAGCACCACTGGGAGCACTACACTACTGGGAGCACTACACTACTGGAAGCACCACTGGGAGCACCACTGGCAGCACTACACTACTGGGAGCACCACTGGGAGCACTACACTACTGTGAGCACCACTGTGAGCACTACTGGCAGCACTACACTACTGGGAGCACTACACTACTGGGAGCACTACTGGGAGCACTACACTACTGGGAGCACTACTGGGAGCACTACACTACTGGGAGCACTACACTACTGGGAGCACTACTGGGAGCACCACACTACTGGGAGCACCACTGGGAGCACTACACTACTGGGAGCACTACTGGGAGCACCACACTACTGGGAGCACCACTGGGAGCACTACACTACTGGGAGCACCACTGGGAGCACTACACCACTGGGAGCACTACTGGGAGCACCACACTACTGGGAGCACCACTGGGAGCACTACACTACTGGGAGCACTACACTACTGGGAGCACCACTGGGAGCACCACTGGGAGCACTACACTACTGGGAGCACTACACCACTACACCACTGGGAGCACTACTGGGAGCACCACTGGGAGCACTACACTACTGGGAGCACTACTGGGAGCACCACTGGGAGCACTACACTACTGGGAGCACCACACTACTGGAAGCACCACTGGCAGCACTACACTACTGGGAGCACCACTGGGAGCACCACTGGGAACACCACTGGGAGCAGCACTACTGGTACTGGGAGCGCCAAACAGTAAGCCTGTGTTCATCTTCCTCATTCATCCCGAGGGCTGTTATATCCCTGTTCCAGATAGTTGTTCACTGATTACACACACAGCCCAGTGGCAAGGCTTTTAGCTGGGAATCAAACACACACAGCCCAGTGGCAAGGCTTTTAGCGGGGAATCAAACACACACAGCCCAGTGGCAAGGCTTTTAGCTGGGAATCAAACACACACAGCCCAGTGGCAAGGCTTTTAGCGGGGAATCAAACACACACAGCCCAGTGGCAAGGCTTTTAGCTGGGAATCAAACACACACAGCCCAGTGGCAAGGCTTTTAGCTGGGAATCAAACACACACAGCCCAGTGGCAAGGCTTTTAGCTGGGGAATCAAACACACACAGCCCAGTGGCAAGGCTTTTAGCTGGGAATCAAAACACACACAGCCCAGTGGCAAGGCTTTTAGCTGGGAATCAAACACACACAGCCCAGTGGCAAGGCTTTTAGCTGGGAATCAAACACACACAGCCCAGTGGCAAGGCTTTTAGCTGGGAATCAAACACACACAGCCCAGTGGCAAGGCTTTTAGCTGCTGATATCTGGTCCAAATACACCAGCTTCCAAGCATTCTTCACACATTAAATTAAACAATACACATCTGATATGACCTTGTAGAATGGATACTACCTTGGGTAATTCACTAAGGCCTGAATTCTAACTTGAGATATGTGTGCATGTAACTTCAGTGTTTGAGGTCAATGGAAGATGTGCACAATGTGTGAATGACGTAAAAGTTTGGCCCCTGGATCATCCTAGCTGCTGTTTTCCGACTTAAGAGTCCAAACAGGCTTTTCCTTAGGCTACCTAAATGTTTTGGTCATGTTTTGGGGGCTCGTCCGGTATCAATGGTAATAACTGAGGGCTTATCCAGGATCCACCTATTAACCTACACCTCCCGGGTCTTACCTCGGACCACAATGGTGGTAGACTTCTTAGCCGGGTTTCCCACGTTGTTGCTGGCCACACAGCTGTAGACGCCTGCTTCCTCTGTGGAGATGGCGGGCAGCGTGAGGGTCCCTCCATTAAGGACGCTCTTCTTGGGCAGCTCGTCAGTGTTGTGCACCCAGGTGAGTGTGGGCGTAGGGTCACCGCCGGAGGTCACGCACACCAGGGTCACGGTCTGCCCAGGGTTCACCACGATGGGGTCCTCCACCAGCAGCTTAATGGTGGGGGATGCTGAAACCACAGGATTAAAATAGAATGCATTATATTTGTATTTGTATTTATTATGGATCCCCATTAGCTGTTGCCAAGGCAGCAGCTACTCTTCCTGGGGTCCAAACACATTAAGGCACTTACATTACATATAAAACAAAATATAAAAACAGTACATCATATAACATTATTACACCACTACATATCTACAATGCAAAATGTATAATACCACCATACAACAATATTACAATGTACGTGTGTGTAGAGTGCGTGTGCTAGCGTTTGTGTGTGTATGCGTGTGTCTGTACCGGTGTGTGTCTCTTCACAGTCCCCGCTGTTCCATAAGGTGGATTTTTACCAGTTTTTTTTTTTTTTATCTGATTGTTTACATTTTATTTGTCTGTGTCAAAGTCAATAGGTAATCTCGGAAACCCAGAATTAAAATCACCCACCAGCTACTCAATTAGGTTCTTATGAGCGGTATGAGAAGTGAAACTAGAGTGAGTGGAGGTAGCTCCACCCCTATCTCGCTACGTGTTTCGGGCAAGTCTACGGGCCAAACGTCCCCCTCCCTTCAAAATTCAAACGCGCACAACTGTGCAATTTGTGATCTGTACAAATAATCAGTGATGATAAATCAGCGCACCGTTCCTCGGTATTTGTCACATCTCAGTCTGTTGACAGACATTACGATACTGTCTGTTACGTACCTCCGTCCATGAGAAATGTGTCAGTAGTCAACAAACAAGTCATTAGGTACTGTAGCTGCTGTAAACTGAGTAGTATATTGATTTTGTCTGTTACCTGCCTTCCTTCCCTTTCTAGTGACATTTGTTCTATAGTGTACATATAGTGTTCATAGGTCATAGTGTAGCTAACTAGTGTATATACCGTCTATATAGTGTTCTATGATGTTACTAAGTGTACATAGGTTCATAGGTCTATAGTGTCACTATATGTTCTATAGTTTTCGGAGCATATACGGTCAATAGTCTAATTTAGCTATATGTGCTATAGGTTCTATAGTGTAGCTATATAGTGTTCTATAGGTTCATAGTGTAGCTATCATAGTGTTACATAGTGTACATATAGTGTTCTATAGGTCTATAGTTAGTATATAGTGTTCTATAGGTTCTATAGTGTAGCTATATAGTTGTTATATAGGTTCTATAGTGTTCTATAGTGTAGCTATATAGTGTTCTATAGGTCTATATATGTTTTGTTCTATAGTGTAGCTATAAGTTGGTTCTATAGTGTAGCTATATAGTGTTCTATAGGTTCTATAGTGTAGCTATATAGTGTTATATAGGTTATATAGTGTTCTATAGGTTCTAGTGTAGCTATATAGTGTTCTATAGGTTCTATAGTGTAGCTATATAGTGTTCTATAGGTTCTATAGTGTAGCTATATAGTTGGTTATATAGGTTCTATGTCAAGTGTTCTATAGTGTAGCTATATAGTGTTCTATCAGGTTCTATAGTGTAGCTATATATGTTCTATAGGTTCTATAGTGTAGCTATATAGTGTTCTATAGGTTCTATAGTGTAGCTATATAGTGTTCATAGGTCTATAGGTTCTATAGTGTTCTATAGTGTAGCTATATAGTGTATATAGGTTCTATAGGTTCTATAGTGTAGCTATATAGTGTTCTATAGTTTATGTGTAGCTATATATGTTCTATAGGTTCTATAGTGTAGCTATATAGTGTTCTATAGGTTTCTATAGGTTCTATAGTGTAGCTATATAGTTGGTTATATAGGTTCTATAGGTTCTATAGTGTTCTATAGTGTAGCTATATAGTGTTCTATAGGTTCTATAGTGTAGCTATATAGTGTTCTATAGGTTCTATAGTGTAGCTATATAGTTGGTTATATAGGTTCTATAGGTTTATAGGTTCTATAGTGTTCTATAGTGTAGCTATATAGTTGGTTCTATAGGTTCTATAGTGTAGCTATATAGTTGGTTCTATAGGTTCTATAGTGTAGCTATATAGTGTTCTATAGGTTCTATAGTGTTCTATAGTGTAGCTATATAGTGTTCTATAGGTTCTATAGTGTTCTATAGTGTAGCTATATAGTGTTCTATAGGTTCTATAGTGTAGCTATATAGTGTTCTATAGGTTCTATAGTGTAGCTATATAATGTTCTATAGGTTCTATAGGTTCTATAGTGTAGCTATATAGTTGGTTATATAGGTTCTATAGGTTCTATAGTGTTCTATAGTGTAGCTATATAGTGTTCTATAGGTTCTATAGTGTAGCTATATAGTGTTCTATAGGTTCTATAGTGTAGCTATATGTTCTATAGGTTCTATAGTGTAGCTATATAGTTGGTTCTATAGGTTCTATAGGTGCTATAGTGTTCTATAGGTTCTATAGTGTAGCTATATAGTGTTCTATAGGTTCTATAGTGTAGCTATATAGTTGGTTATATAGGTTCTATAGACTCTATAGTGTTCTATAGGTTCTATAGTGTTCTATAGTGTAGCTATATAGTTGGTTCTATAGGTTCTATAGTGTAGCTATATAGTTGGTTCTATAGGTTCTATAGTGTAGCTATATAGCTATAAGTGTTCTATAGTTTATAGTGTTCTATAGTTAGCTATATAGTGTTATAGTAGGTTCTATAGTGTAGCTATATAGTGTTCTATAGTGAGTTATAGGTTCTATAGTGTAGCTATATAGTTGGTTATATAGTTTCTATAGTGTTCTATAGTGTAGCTATATAGTGTTCTATAGTGTAGCTATATAGTGTCTATAGGTTCTATAGTGTAGCTATATAGTGTTCTAGTCAGTGCGTAGCTATATAGTGTTCTATAGTGTGTATATAGTGTTCTATAGTGTAGCTATATAGTTGGTTCTATAGGTTCTATAGTGTAGCTATATAGTTAGGTTCTATAGGTTCTATAGTGTAGCTATATAGTGTTCTATAGGTTCTATAGTGTAGCTATATAGTGTTCTATAGTGTAGCTATATAGTGTTTATGTGTTCTATAGTGTAGCTATATAGTGTTATATAGTTCTATTAGTGTTCTATAGTGTTCTATAGGTTCTATAGTGTAGCTATATAGTGTTCTATAGGTTCTATAGTGTAGCTATATAGTGTTCTATAGTGTAGCTATATAGTGTTCTATAGTGTTCTATAGTGTAGCTATATAGTTGGTTCTATATGGTTCTATAGTGTAGCTATATAGTGTTCTATAGGTTCTATAGTGTAGCTATATAGTGTTCTATAGTGTAGCTATATAGTGTTCTATAGTGTAGCTATATAGTGTTCTATAGTGTAGCTATATAGTTGGTTCTATAGTGTAGTTATAGTGTCTATATGTAGCTTATAGTGTTCTATAGGTTCTATAGTGTAGCTATATAGTGTTCTATAGTGTTCTATAGTGTGTCTATAGTGTTATAGTGTAGCTATATAGTTGGTTATATAGGTTCTATAGTGTAGCTATATAGTGTTCTATAGGTTCTATAGTGTAGCTATATAGTGTTCTATAGGTTCTATAGTGTAGCTATATAGTGTTCTATAGTGTAGCTATATAGTGTTCTATAGGTTCTATAGTGTAGCTATATAGTGTTCTATAGTGTAGCTATATAGTGTTCTATAGGTTCTATAGTGTAGCTATATAGTTGGTTATATAGTGTTATATAGGTTCTATAGTGTAGCTATATAGTGTTCTATAGGTTCTATAGTGTAGCTATATAGTGTTATATAGGTTCTATAGTGTAGCTATATAGTGTTCTATAGGTTCTATAGTGTAGCTATATAGTGTTCTATAGGTTCTATAGTGTAGCTATAGTAGTGTTCTATAGGTTCTATAGTGTAGCTATATAGTGTTCTATAGGTTCTATAGTGTAGCTATATAGTGTTCTATAGGTTCTATAGTGTAGCTATATAGTGTTCTATAGGTTCTATAGTGTAGCTATATAGTGTTCTATAGTGTAGCTATATAGTGTTCTATAGTGTAGAGCTATATAGTGTTCTATAGGTTTATAGTGTTCTATAGTGTGTATATAGTGTTCTATTATGTGTAGCTATATAGTGGTTCTATAGGTTCTATAGTGTAGCTATATAGTGTTCTATAGTGTAGCTATATAGTGTTCTATAGGTTCTATAGTGTAGCTATATAGTTGGTTATATAGGTTCTATAGTGTAGCTATATAGTGTTCTATAGGTTCTATAGTGTAGCTATATAGTGTTCTATAGTGTAGCTATATAGTGTTCTATAGGTTCTATAGTGTAGCTATATAGTGTTCTATAGTGTAGCTACAGTGAGGGAAAAAAGTATTTGATCCCCTGCTGATTTTGTACGTTTGCCCACTGACAAAGAAATGATCAGTCTATATTTTTAATGGTAGGTTTATTTGAACAGTGAGAGACAGAATAACAACAAAAAAATCCAGAAAAACGCATGTCAAAAATGTTATACATTGATTTGCATTTTAATGAGGGAAATAAGTATTTGAACCCTCTGCAAAACATGACTTAGTACTTGGTGGCAAAACCCTTGTTGGCAATCACAGAGGTCAGATGTTTCTTGTAGTTGGCCACCAGGTTTGCACACATCTCAGGAGGGATTTTGTCCCACTCCTCTTTGCAGATCTTCTCCAAGTCATTAAGGTTTCGAGGCTGACGTTTGGCAACTCGAACCTTCAGCTCCCTCCACAGATTTTCTATGGGATTATGGTCTGGAGACTGGCTAGGCCACTCCAGGACCTTAATGTGCTTCTTCTTGAGCCACTCCTTTGTTGCCTTGGCCGTGTGTTTTGGGTCATTGTCATGCTGGAATACCCATCCCACAACCCATTTTCAATGCCCTGGCTGAGGGAAGGAGGTTCTCACCCAAGATTTGTGTGCTCCTAATCTCAGCTCATTACCTGTATAAAAGACACCTGGGAGCCAGAAATCTTTCTGATTGAGAGAGGGTCAAATACTTATTTCCCTCATTAAAATGCAAATAAATGTATAACATTTTTGACATGCGTTTTTCTGGATTTTTTGTTGTTGTTATTCTGTCTCTCACTGTTCAAATAAACCTACCATTAAAATTATAGACTGATCATTTCTTTGTCAGTGGGCAAACGTACAAAATCAGCAGGGGATCAAATACTTTTTTCCCTCACTTTATATAGTTGGTAGTAGGGTGTAAGTTCATAACCCAGCTAGCACATAACGTTCTGAGAACCATACGTTTCTTAGAGCTTGGTGAGAGCGTGGTTGTCTTCTGGTTATTTTGCATATAACCTTCCCACAGCGTTCTGGGAATGGTGCTTGGCTTTGGAACGTTCTCAGCACATTTAAAGAACTTGACAAAAAAAACGTTATTTTCCTGGTATTTCATTAAATCAACAGAACATTTCCAAACATGGTTACATTTAAATTCATTTCAATGTTCTAGGAATGTTCTCCAACTGGTTTGACATTGGGAATGTTCTCAAATAGTTCAGAGAACATTATGAAAGAAAATTGTTCTGTGGGAATTTCAGTACTTCAGCATAACGTTTCCTACAGGTTTCCTCATGGTTCTATTTAAAGTAACGTTCTCAGAACATTCAGATAACGTTAATAAACACCTTTCTTCTGTGGGAATTTCAGAAAACTTTTGTAATGTTCAGAGAACGTTATTTAAAAACGTATTCATTTCCGTTCTCAGCGTCAACAAAACTCTCTAACCTCCATCTTGTTAAGTGTGTTCAGGTGTGTTGGCCACGCCCACTAATTGGTCACACCTGATCTTAATGAGTGATTGTTTCTTTGAAATGGGGTCTGTTTGAATAGACTAAAATGAACAGCTTTGTATGAGTAAAAAAAAAAAAGATTGCTAGCTCCATCCTGCTGGCGCAGTGGACTAATTCCATGGATAGAGAACAGAAGATTATATGTTTGAATCTCACTGACGCTGTGTCACAATAAAAAAATAAATATGTTTGCATGATTAATGCCTAAGAAATGCATTTCCACGTGTCCCATCTATGCTTGGAGTTCAAAACTGTTAAACTAAGCTAGCAGTGTTATTAAAAGTCTTATTGAAACGTTCAGTGACATTTAAGGAAGTTATTCAAAAACCTCCAAATAACCTTTACATTTTATTCAAAACATTCACAACATTTAGAGAATGTTCTCAGAATTTCCGTTCTCAGAACGTTAATAAAACCTCCCAGGAAAACTTTCAGGGAACCATAGTAAAACGTTCTCAGAACTTTTTCAGTTCCGTTGTCAGAATGTTTAAAAAACGTTCAGTTTTACCGGTCAGGAAACTTATGGCTTCGTTCCCAGAACTAACGGGAAACCAAAAACGTATGTTTCCACAACTTCCAAGAAACTGTAAGAATATTCAAAGATAAATATACACTGCAGAGAACTAGAGATCAAGAGAACTAGAGATCAATGGAACTATTGGTTTTTCTGTAATAGAGAACTAAAAGAGCAATGGAACTAGTTGTTTTTCAGTTCAACATCTGTTTAGAATCTGTGTAGTGGTTCCAGTCCGGGACTCATAGCCATGTGTGGCAAGTTCTCATTTATCCAAATTATCTATACATTGAAGCTGAAATGGGATACTTTGTATTTTGGCCATTGGCCCAATTTTACTGCAATGAATTCTAATTGGTCAACCACAGGCTTGGGTCTAAACTACATCCTGTCTCTTTGTTCTGTGGAGAAACAATGAGAACGGGGAAGAATTAACATCTCCCATCCACTTTCCAGCATAACAACTAGGATTTGTTCACTTTGAATAAATATATTTTTCTCCCGCTGATTTGCTTTGGTGTCTGTGTTGTCGAAGAATAAGAATAACACAAACTGCTAACAAAACCAAATATGTTGGCTGGGATAACCATAGGCACATGGCTTCTCCATTCCTAGCAGTGGGATACATGTCTTTACGAGCATGGCATAAGCTAGCCCGCTGACATACACTGTAAGTCCAATCAATGCGGGTTGCGGCGGAAAGGGCCAGAGCAGGAAACCTGCAGGGCAGTGTATTGGGACCTTTATCATTATTGGTCTTATGTGTGGCTGAAACATCAGAGAGGAAAAATGCAGATCGGAGAAGGACCAACCTACACGGTTCCCATCCGTAATGTATTTCCTAAAGGAACAACGACAGGCGTCGAGGGAGCCACAGAGCAGCGCTAGGGGGCCACGGGGCATTTACTTAGGAATATGGAATATATAACCACGGAACATCAATGGAGGTGTCCCCTGGGGGGACTTTGAGAGCAATCAGGGGTTAAAGTAGAGTTAGGGTTAGTAGGCGTGAGACATCTGGCCAACGGAGAGGACAACTGACATTACGCAACCAAATCTAAATCTGTGCTAAATCTGATGAGGAAGGATGGGGCCTAATCAAGTGGCCCCGAACCTCTTCTAGTCGCAAATTGTGTTTCTAGTGTCAAGTACCTGCAGTCCTTTATAAATTACAGTCGCTTCATTTGGTTGTAAATTGAGACACCTGTCTCCTTGCTGCATATTTACTTTCTGTAATGGAGAAGTTTTGGACAAAGCCGGGGAGAATTGACTGAAATTAAGAGAGACAATGAGTGCTTATCGCTATTCACGGTGGAATCGGTGGATCCTTGAAGTTTGATTGCTAAACAACACGAAGCAGGGTTCTCAGCCGCCCCAAAGCTTTACCTGTTCTGTTGGAGAGTTTGAAGAGGACATTCTTGTCGGCGATGCCGCACACACTCCGGACCGAGGCGATGCAGCTGTAGTTGGCGTAATCCTGAGGTCGAAGGTTCTTCAGCTTTAGAATCTTGGTCTCCCCCTGCAACTCGGAAAGAAACACAGTGTTGCACCGACTTTGTGCTGCACCGCCTTGCCCAGGCCTGTCGCACTTAATGTGTCTTACAAAAAGGGTAAGATAGCAGTGGTATTGACCTCGTCTCTTCATCTCGCCCTCATCAAAGAGCTTCCTTGGCAGCGCTTCAACAATGAGCTCATTCCAGTCATCAAAGGAGGAGTATTATCTTTACACCAAGCTTTCCAATTCATGAAGTTCATTAGCTGTCTATTTGGATGTGCTTGAAACGGTGCTCTTGGAACAAATGTCAAGATGCATACATGCGCTATTAATACACATTAATTATTTTACCAACAACTGTTTTGTCTGCTTTCGTGTATACCTCCATCTTTGTTGCACATACCTCCAATATGTTTATGTTCCGTATATTCTTAATTAAAGGCATGCTCCAGTACTTTGGCGACTGGTAAGTATTTTTTAACCCTTTACGCTCGTACTCGTATACGGGTTGAAAATGGCAGATTTGGGCACTGACAAACGCAGTGGCTGTACAGCAACATGCTATCCATGACATCAGAGCTCTGGCACCGCGCTTCACAGCGAAGTATGGGTTTTGACTGACAGACGTTCTGAGCCGTTCCTTCCCGCTAATTTGGCAACTTTTGCAAATGTTTTGTTGTCTGAGTGAGGGAAACGCTGTAAATTAAGATTATAATAAATACCACTTTGATGTCATACAAGTCAGCCAAACACAGTGAGTCCAAATGTGCATTTAACATTTCCATATCATAATGCTCATGTAATACACATAGTGATCATAAACGTTGACAATGTTTGAAGATGACATGGCATCATACCCTGGGTTGTGCTGAACAGAATGAGCCCGTTTGTCTATTGTGAAGAAAAGTTGCCGCGGCACACGCACCTGAATGCACTCATGACTGAACTATGCGCACCAAAATGATGATCAGTTTCCTTGAATTGCATTGTGAAAGCCTAACACTAATATCGTATTTTATAACTTAGCTGATCATGTTGGCAATAGAACAGGCTTCCAAATTATGCCCACCTGACCCAGATTGCGATTTATAATAGACCGTTTTTGTGTAATCACAGTAATTGTGTGATGGCGGGGATGCAGGGCTGTGTTCCAAACAAAACAACTACTAGTGTGCTTGCTCTAGTTCCTCAACGGCACAGCTAGGAGAGCTCACAAAAAGCACCTTATATGTAGTTGAAGACTCTTCTTTGAGTCATAAAAGTGCATTGAAATTACAGTGCATTGGAGACACCAGTTAGACAAAAAAAATGGGTTTGAGTTAGAGGACTCAAATAAAATCAACAGTGTAATGTTTGGATTCAGTCTTGTGTCAGGTGAACTGTTGTGCCCACAATTTTGGACTAATAAATTTCCCATCATCTCCAAATTATTCCCTTTCAATTGCTACCATGGTTATGCATATGCTTTTCATATTTATTCTGTAAGAAACATTTCAATTTAGCCCTATCCATATAGACCAATTCCCAGGAGTGTAACGGGTTAAACCTCCCGCTTTGGGCTGGATGTGTCAATGTGTAGTTCATACATGAGCAGAATTACTGTCTTACCTCAATTATTCTCAAAATCACTTGTTTGAAAGCGACTGTTTTTTGGAAGCTGTGCGACGCCATTTTCCCTACATTTACCCCCATGTGGGCCAGCACCCTAGCAATTCGAGTTTCAGCCAATGACCTTCAAGCAAGACGCACACACAGTAGAGCTACACACACACACAGAGAGAGAGAGAGAGCGAGAGCGAGAGAGAGAGAGAGAGAGAGAGCGCAATGATGCACATAAAGCCACATGTTACGTAGTACGCAATTTTCGGGGACCACTTTCGGCTCGTGGGCGCTACTTTCAGAACTACTGGCTAAAAAGTACCGGAGAATCTCGTTAAAACTCAAGAGGGCATTACTAGGCTGAGGATGGCACAACATGTAAAGTCTACCGGAAACACGAGGTCCTAATGTCTGCCTGTGTGTGTGAGTAGAAATATACTGCGAGCCCCTGAAGTGGCGTCTCCCCCCTGCTCATCACAAGCACATCGGAGTTGTGGGAGTTTCATGCTACCGCAAGCCCAAGCTGTTCCCTTCTCTGTCATAGTTCGTCTGCTTCCGATACCGCCCTTTGTGACTGTCAGACATATGACTCCCTGTCAAAATGCTCTTATCTCTCCTGTCAACGGAGATGACTTTGCAAGAAGAGCAGAGATTAGATGAGATGTTTTGAAAAGACGGACGACATTTTTCAACCCAAGTCACAGAAATTGCCCTCACAAAACATCCTCCCATTTGGGATTCAAGTGCTCCAAAGGGAGACATACCACATGCTGTGAAAGGGGTAAACACACTTAATCTCATCTAAAATATGCATAACAAGTAATGACTTAGGAGTTCCTTAATATCTCAAATGCTGATCAGAGGGACGGGTTGTTTGATCTAGCTCAGGGGTCTCAAACTCAAATTACCTGAAGGCCAGAAAAATTATCCTGAGTGCCTGATTCCAATAGGTCTGTGGGACCACAAGAAAGCAGCTCTCGGGACGGATTTGGCCCACAGGCCACGAGTTGCAGACCCCTGATCTAGCTGTTGCAGCAGGTGTGGACTCTGAGCTTACTTGTGTGAAGAAGGGCTCGTAGATCTCAACGCCCTTATCCGAGCCTTGGGACAGGAACTCTCGGCCACGCCTCCAGCTGTAGCGCACTGGCGGGTTGGAGTTAGCCATGCAGCGCAGGAACACCGTCCGCTCGTAGTAGAACTGCTCCTTAGCCTCCCCGATGCTCTGGTGGACGGTTACGATGGGATCATCCAAATCTAGAGCGAGAACACAGAACGTAGAAACGATGGCATCAAGCAGTCTTTATTTGCCACACACTTGTGTAGGTCAAAGCATATGAAGTGAAATTACATGATCTACTTAGTCCCAGGGACCTATTTATGTACAGTGGCTGGGATTTAAAGAACTGTGCTGGTTCAAGTGGTTAACAGCTGTTGTCATCTTTTGCGATCAAATGTTACCCCTTAAGCTCATCATGGAGCCTGCGATGCCAAATGTGTACGAAAAGGAAAAAACATGATTTGTTATTCATGTCAAATTTTATTCCCTTATAAATATCATATTATAAATATCATTAACTATACCTACATGTACATATTACTAAATTACCTGGACAAACCGGTGCCCCAGCACATTGACTCTGTACCTGTACCCCCTCTATATAGCCTGTATATTGACTCTGTACCTGTACCCCCTGTATATAGCCTGTATATTGACTCTGTACCTGTACCCCCTGTATATAGCCTGTATATTGACTATGTACCTGTACCCCCTGTATATAGCCTGTATATTGACTCTGTACCTGTACCCCCTGTATATTGACTCTGTACCTGTACACCCTGTATATAGCCTCGCCACTGATATTTTTACTGTTATTTTACTGCTTTTATTTTGTACTTATCTATTGATTACTTAACAATTATTTGCATTGTTGTTTAAGGGCTTGTAAGCATTTCACTGTAAGGTCTACACCTGTTGTATTCGGTGCATGAGACAAATACAATTTTAATTTTATTTGATCAATCATATAAATATCATGTGAAATATCATATAAATATTTATATTTTTCAGGAGAGCAATGACAATGTCTGACCTCTACGGTCTACAACAACATCAAAATTACACTTTTTATTTCTGTCATACATCTGAAATTTCAGGAATCGTCAACCCCAATGAATTACTGTCAATTAAACGCAAACACACTCCACTCAGGTGCTTGGATTTTTTGGGGTACAAAGTTCAGTGAAAAGGACCACTTAGACTCCAAAGTTCCCGCTGCAATCAAGAGGGAGCTTTTAAAAATGTGATTTTGACAAGAGCTCGATAATTACTCAAAAGTGCTCCACAGAAGAGCCACCGGCTTTTATGGGTCACTTTGAGATGCAGACAAGCACCTTGAAAAAGCAGTTTCCCACCAGCCGACTAACTACTGCCATGGGGCAGTCCAGAGCCAGACTAATTTCCTATACGAACCATTATAACGTCTTCGCATTTATATAAAATAATGGCCTTTGTGGATTAGTCCGCGTCAGTTAGTCCATACAGTTTCTAATTTCATGTCAGTCATTCTCTATCAAGGTCATCCATGTGCTTTATCACCAACCACCAAGGATTCCGACACGGCATCGCTGAATGGCAGCGAACAGCAACACGTGTCATTGCTTTGATCAGCTGGTGTAGCATAGAGGGCAGGATGGATAAATGTCTCCCCAGAGATGAGACAATAAGCAAGGGTTCCGATCTCTGAAGTGCGGGGGTGATGGCTCTGTGTTCATCGTCTCCCCCTGGCAATGTTGTCTGCCACTGTCCATCTCCTGTCCTATTTATCTTGCATCTCTGCAGTAAACTAACCCCGCTCTATCGTCTCCTCCTCTTCTTTCTCTCGGAAGCACAGAGTGCAGACGCACCAGATTTGTCTCGTTTTTGTATTTTCCAGCTCCCGGCAATCAGGGGGAACGCTGAATTTCAAACACGGAGACGCTGACTCAATCAACCTCATTTTTTGGGGGGTTGAGGAATTTGTAGCTGACTCTTTTGGGAGGGAGAAGGGGGGTAGGGGTAGATTGCAGCGTAAAGCTTCTAGGGGTTAGGGGTTAGTTCTGATACAACTCATCCACAGAGAGAAAGTATATCCATCTAGCCCGCCACAGTAAACCCATACATTATGTCTGTCCTCTGACATTTGGAAACTGAATCGCTGCTTTGGAGAGAGTGAGGTATGCAAACACCAGTAATGTGATGCACTAAAACTTGCAGTATCCGCATAATGCTTCATTTCAGTCAATTTGCAATTATCAGCCCTGATAAACAGAGAAATTAGAACGATGAATGAATTCACCATCTAAATGCTAAACCCAATCCATCTCTCAAGGCCTAAAAACGACTGGACAAATGAAACACTATAAAGTACTACTTGAGAATTCGAAGTGAACACCAATGCGTGGCTATCTCTCTCTGGGTCCACAAACTACTTTCTATAGCCATAAAATGAGATTTGCAATTAGGGTGAACTCTCCCCCCCACTGGGCACAGACGTCAGTTCAACGTCTAGTTTTGATTTACATTTGGTCGAGTTGTCACCTAACGTGAATTCAACGTGAAATCAACCATGTCATTGGATTTAGGTTCAAAGTTGGGTGAAAAAAAAAGATGAAATCCTCTTACGTTGATGACTTTTTGCAAATCCAATCAGTTTTCCACGTCAACTTCATCACATACATGTTTTTGGTTGAAGTGACTTGGAAACAACATTGATTAAACCAGTTTTTGCCCAGTGGGTATTTAATACACACTTCCACGAGGGGTTTCCTTCCACGAGGGGTTTCCTTCCACGAGGGGTTTCCTTCCACGAGGGGTTTCCTTCCACGAGGGGTTTCCTTCCACGAGGGTTTCCTTCCACGAGGTGATTCCTTCCTGAGGTGTTTCCTTCCTGAGGTGATTCCTTCCTGAGGTGTTTCCTTCCTGAGGTGATTCCTTCCTGAGGTGATTCCTTCCTGAGGTGATTCCTTCCTGAGGTGTTTCCTTCCTGAGGTGTTTCCTTCCTGAGGTGTGGTTGCTGCTTTTCCTAATTTACAATGTAGGAATCAGCAGCAGGACTTCAAGCGTCTAAGTCTGCATTCCAAATAGCACCCTATTCCCTATTTAGAGTCCTATGGTCCCTGGTCAAAAGTAGTGCACGATGTAGGGAATAGGGTGCCATTTGGGACACAGATCAGTCTGTATTGCTGGAAATCACAATCCCCTTCTGTTTCACAGCTATCCTTTTCTTCAGCTAAGTGCACCGTCAGGCCTTCACACAGCTGGGGGGGGGCAGTTCCCTTACTGAGTGAACAAAAACGAAATGTCACTTACATGATGGCAGCGTCCGCAGCTTTAAGAAATGGCTGACGTTGTCTGCAATTAACACGAGTGTATGGAACATTTCATTCACTGTGATGTCCTACCTGTGGTGGTTTTATTATTTAGACCTTATGTGTTTCAAAAAGTCACGTTGTAATTCTAACCAAACCCTAACCTGCTTTAAACGACTTTCATTCAGCCACAACGTCATGTTGCCTGGGAGGGTAAGGACTAGGAGTGAGCGAGTGAATGCCTGTTGTTCATTAGCTAAAGCACAAGGCATGGGTAAGTGGACACAGGCAATCTGCAGGGGGAAAAGGACAGAACTGACGATGTGTGCTGCGAACACCGTGGGAGTGCAGCGGAACACCGTGGGAGTGCAGTAGAACACCGGGGGGAGTGCAGTGGAACACATGGGGGAGTGCAGTGGAACACCGTGGGAGTGCAGTGGAACACCGTGGGAGTGCAGTGGAACACCGTGGGAGTGCAGTGGAACACATGGGGGAGTGCAGTGGAACACCGTGGAGGCAGTGGAACACGGAGTGCGTGGAACACCGTGGGAGTGCAGTGGAACACCGTGGGAGTGCAGTGGAACACAGGGGGAGTGCAGTGGAACACATGGGGGTGCAGTGGAACACCTGGGAGTGCAGTGGAACACCGTGGGAGTGCAGTGGAACACCGTGGGAGTGCAGTGGAACACAGTGGGGGAGTGCAGTGGAACACCGTGGGAGTGCAGTGGAACACATGGGGGAGTGCAGTGGAACACATGGGGGAGTGCAGTGGAACACCGTGGGAGTGCAGTGGAACACATGGGGGAGTGCAGTGGAACACCGTGGGAGTGCAGTGGAACACCGTGGGAGTGCAGTGGAACACCGTGGGAGTGCAGTGGAACACATGGGGGAGTGCAGTGGAACACGGGGAGTGCAGTGGAACACATGGGGGAGTGCAGTGGAAACACCGGGGAGTGCAGTGGAACACGGGGGAGTGCAGTGGAACACATGGGGGAGTGCAGTGGAACACATGGGGGAGTGCAGTGGAACACCGGGGGAGTTCAGCGGAAGAAAAGGGCGTGCAGGTGACCGAGGCAAGGCCTGTCCACTCACAGTAGACGTCCACTCGGATGGACTTGATGGCCGGGGATCCCAGGCCGTTCTCAGCCTTGCAGTAGTAGCGTCCGCCCTGGTGCCTCTGGATGCGGGTGATGCGCAGGGTCTCGTTGAACACACTGGAGTCCTGGAAGCGGTCCGAGGCGCTACCGGCTGTTTTGGTCCATCGGATCTGGGGTGGGAGAGAGCGATAGAGGTCAGAGGTGACATCTGCTGACCGAGGACTAATGCTATGGTCAACAGGCTGGACTGACGGTAATGGGGTCAGCCATGGGATAATTATATTTCAAAACACACGTTATTCTGGATTAAAATGAGCCAATGTAGTGCATGTTTTAGAAGAAGTCAAATAATGGACTAATAATGTAAATTTTTTCTGAATATGGGCTTTATTCAGCCTGTGTGAGGAACAATCAATGAAAGTCAACAGTACCACACATTATTTTAACTTTCTTTATTTGTCCATAGGCTCTCTATTGAGAACAGCAACAACATATCAAAGTGTAATACATGCAGAACAAAGATATTAATGGTAAAACTGACTGAAATTTATATCTACGGCGCAGTTCAAAAACTGACTGAAATGTATATCTACGGCGCAGTTCAAAACCTGACTGAAATGTATATATACGGCGCAGTTCAAAAACTGACTGAAATGTATATCTACGGCGCAGTTCAAAAACTGACTGAAATGTATATCTACGGCGCAGTTCAAAAACTGACTGAAATGTATATCTATGGCGCAGTTCAAAGGCCATTAAACGGACAAGCGCATCAAATATTTAGAAGGTGGCTTGTGTTGGAGTGGTTCTCGTGAGACAGCGACATGCGTCTTACATTCCAACGCCATCCAGTGAGTCTGGATTCCCTACGGCACGTGAACTCGGAGAAAACCACAACTATAACTGAACCACAGAAAACAGCTCTGACAATCCCGTGCAACGCTGAGGTATTCCCAATGGCACTAAACCTGTGTGATAAGCAGTCCCTATTAAAAAATAATAATATATAGGTTCAGTGAAATGTGTTGTTTTACAGGGTCAGCCATAGTAGTACGGCACCCCAGGAGCAAATTAGGGTTAAGTGCCTTGCTCAAGGGCACATTGACAGATTTTTCTAACCAGCAACCATTGGGTTACTGGCCAAATGCTCTAACCGCTAGGCTACCTGCCGCCCTCATTAAGCACTTCTTGTGTTTGGAGGAGAAATGCATCTGAAACTAGGCAACAGGAAACTAGGCAACCCTGGCATCAGTGATCTGAGAAGGGAGGAAGATGAGGTCACCAGTCTCCCGCTGCCCGTCTATCCATTTGCACGGATGTTTAATTTACATATACAGTATATATACGATCAGTGGAGCGTTTGGCTTCTGGAAGGCGAAGAAGAAGACCGCCGCGGTCGGCAACGGTCTCGGAATACGCAAATGGCACTTTGAAGAGGGTGAATGGATGTGTGGCCCCCCACTGTGTACACTCACTACACTGCACTGACTACACTACACAACACTGACTACACACACTATCCTCACTACACTAACTAAACTACACGCACTGACTACACTACACAACACTGACTACACACACTATCCTCACTACACTAGCTAAACTACACGCACTGACTACCCTACACTAACTATACTAACTACACTACACTACACTCCAGTGGAGGCTGCTGATGGGAGGACGGCTCATAATAATGGCTGGAATGGAGTGAATGGAATGGTGTCAAACACATGGTTTCCATTCCAGCCATTACTATGAGCCGTCCTCCCCTCAGCAGCCTCCACTGCTACTACACACGTTGAAACTGTTCATTACTGTTCGCAAAACAATGTCCATACAGGCTAAAACACTTTTACAATGCAAGATGATACCGGTAGCTTCCAGCTTTAATTGTGGGCCAACTTTCCTTGCTAGCTTACAGCTAAATCAACATAAATTCACTACCCTTGTTTGTGATAGTGTGCAAACTATAACACAAAATATGCTGAGTTCAAAGCTGATTGTCACCAAAAACGTTATTAACTTCGCCTCCCATCTGGTTTCCACTAGATTCCACAGCCACAAAGTCAGATTCCACAGCCACAAAGTCAGATTCCACAGCCACAAAGTCAGATTCCACAGCCACATAATAATAATAATATCCCATTTAGCAGACGCTTTTATCCAAAGCGACTTACAGTCATGCGTGCATACATTTTTGTGTATGGGTGGTCCCGGGGGATCGAACCCACTACCTTGGCGTTACAAGCAAATGTTATTGATCAGTACAATAAAATAACATGTTCTCCTAGTAGTTGGCAATAAACTAGTCCTAAATGGAAGGGATTGTTTGTCATCTGTAGCCCATGAAAATCAGCCACTAACACCCCCACCCCACACCACCTCCGGGGGGTCATGGAGGGAAGAATAAAAATGATATCAATAGCACTGGGGTTCAGGCACATTCTGAACCCGAAGAGAGTCGCAACCTAGCTTCGGTTTGGCGAGCAGGGGGATAAAATCCATTTCATGCTTTGCTCAAGATGGTAGGTGACATGGATTTGTTACACACATATTGGTGTTGGTTAAGGAATAACACCGCTTTGGAATTCATGGGGCAGGAATAACACCGCTTTGGAATTCATGGGGCAGGAATAACACCGCTTTGGAATTCATGGGGCAGGAACAACACAGCTTTGGAATTCATGGGGCTTAGCTACACTGGCTTTCTTTTCGGGGGGGGGGGGGGGGGGGGGGATTTCCTCTCTCTCCTCAGCAACTTGAACCTCAACATTTGGATGTAAGTAAGAACGCTGGAGCTTTTTAATTCAGCAAATAGAGAGAAAGCAGCTTTGAAATTTCTAGGCCCCCAGACAACGTAAAAAAAAAAGTAAAAAAAAAAAAGCTTTGTGTTGCAGATGCAGTTGCAGTGCATACGTTGGATTTATCGAACGTATGCGTCAAACTGTATGCGTAAAACGGCTTGACAGAAATGGTAGCAGAAGGTGAATGTTGAACTTTTGTTGCACACATATCCAGATGATGCTGCGTAACATTTTGCGCGATGATGGTGTCAGTGTGATCGAGGCGTTAGAGTGCTGTATAACTGCAGCATGCTGCAAATAATGCATCCAAAATAACACCGCTTTTTTTTTACTGCAGTAATTTTGGATTGTAACTGCAGTTAGAGTGCAGTTCACTGCAGTTATTCTGCAATTACTGCGTCCAAAATAACATTCGACTGCAGTTACTGCACTTTTACTGCAGTTTCAAAACTACAAATCTTTTTCTGTAAGGGATTACTTTGAACATGATCTATGTAGCTATAATGTCACGTTTACAATATGCTTATATATGTGTTATATATGCTTCATTATATACAATATAATGTAAAAAAAAAATTTAAAAAAGAGTATACACAAAATAGGGTAAAGCGTCTCTTTGGGATGTAGCTTCATAGTCAGCATGTGCTAATCATGTATTCCATCCAGTCTATCAAAGCCACTGGATGTAGCCTACGATACGATGATGTAGCACGTCACAGAATGTTTGGAAAGAGGAGAAGAAGAAGCTGTTCTTGGCCTCGTTTGTCGTTCACACGGGCAGCAGGGCTATGATTCGGTTGCTGGTTCACCTGCATGTAGCTAGGCAACAGCAGATGACTGGCATATGAGAGGAGCGCCTCAGCACACTGCGGTGACGTAGGCTCCAGTGTGGGAAAAGACAGGCGAGCGTGCCCATTCGCCGGCCTATTTATAGCCCGCACTGCCTCCGCGGTCTGTCATAAGCAGCAGCTCCAGGGATCCACCAGTCAGCAACACTTGTTGTCTGTGGGATCTGCCAGCCAGCAACACTTGTTGTCTGTGGGATCCACCAGTCAGCAACACTTGTTGTCTGTGGGATCTGCCAGCCAGCAACACTTGTTGTCTGTGGGATCTGCCAGCCAGCAACACTTGTTGTCTGTGGGATCTGCCAGTCAGCAACACTTGTTGTCTGTGGGATCTGCCTGCCAGCAACACTTGTTGTCTGTGGGATCTGCCTGCCAGCAAACACTTATTGTCTGTGGGATCCCCCAGTCAGCAACAGATTGTTGTCTGTGGGATCTGCCAGCCAAGCAAACACTTGTTGTCTGTGGGATCTGCCCATCCAGCAACACGTGTTGTCTGTGGGTATCTGCCAGCCATCAACACTTGTTGTCTGTGGGATCTGCCCAGTCAGCAAACACTTGTTTGTCTGTGGGGATCTGGCCAGCCAGCAAACACTTGTTGTCTGTTTTTTATTTATTTTACCCTTATTTTAACCAGGTAGTTGACTGAGAACACATTCTCAGGTACAGCCAACGACCTGGGGAATAGTTACAGGGGAGAGGAGGGGGGATGAATGAGCCAATTGGAAGCTGGGGATGATTAGGTGGCAATGATTGTATGAGGGCCAGATTGGGAATTTAGCCAGGACACCGGGGTTAACACTTCTACTCTTACAATAAGTGCCATGGGATCTTTAATGACCACAGAGAGTCAAGAGGACACCCGTTTAACATCCCACTACACAGGGTAAAATGACCCTAATCACTGTCCTGGGATATTTTGTCCTGGGAAAAAGTTATTCCTACTGGCCCTCCAAAACCACTTCCAGCAGCATCTGGTCTCCCATCCAGGGACTGACCAGGACCATTCCTGCTTAGCTTCAGAAGCAAGCCAGCAGTGGTATACAGGGTGGTCTGCTGCTGGCTGGTCTGTGAGAACACCGGCAGCACAATTGATCTTGGACTCTGACTGCGTGTGTGTGTGTGCAGACAGTCTCTGAGGAGAGACGAGGGAGGAAGGAAGGTGCATCAGTGTGTAATTAACTAACTAACTAACTAACTTAATGTACCGAAGCAAGGGATGATTTAACAAGGTTCTGTCTGCTACCCCCTCTCACTCCCCTCTAGCGCTCCCTCCCTCCTGTCCATATCAAAATAAGAGAGTGGAGGAGGAGGATGAAGAGACAGGGTGGAGGAGGAAGAGAGGGTGGAGGAGGAAGAGAGAGGGTGGAGGAGGAGGGGTGGAGGAGGAAGAGACAGGGTGGAGGAGGAGAGAGAGATGAAAGAACAGGGTGGGAGGAGAGGGGGTGAGGAGGAAAGTGGTGGAGGAGGAAGAGAAGGGGGTGGAGGAGGAGAGAAGGAAGGAAAGGAGGAAGAAGAGACAGGTGAGGAGGCAGGGTGGAGAGGAAGAGAACGGGGGAGGAGGACAGGGGACAGGGGTGGAAGGAGACAGGGGGGAAGGAGAGACAGGGTGAGAAAGAGAGGAAGAGACAGGTGAGGGAAGAGAAAGACAGGGTGGAGGAGGAAGAGAAGAGAGAGAGAAGGGAAGAAGGGAGGAGGGTGGAGGAGGAAGAGACAGGGTGGAGGAGGAAGAGAGGGAGAGACAGGGTGGAGGAGGAGAGAGGAAGAGACAGGGTGGAGGAGGAAGGACAGGTGGGAGGAGGAAGACAGGGGTGGAGGAGGAGAGGAAGAGAAGGGTGGAGGAGGAGAGACAGGGTGGAGGAGGAAGGAGGAGAGAGACAGGGTGGAGAGGAGGAAGGACAGGGTGGAGGAGAAGAGACAGGTGGGAGGGAGAAGGAAGAGACAGGGTGAGGAGGAGGACAGGCAGGTAGAGAGGAAGAGACAGGGTGAGGAGGAGGAGGAAGAGACGGGGGAGGAGACAGGGTGGAGGAGGAAGAGAAGGGTGAGGGAGAAGGAGAGACAGGGTGGAGGAGAGAGAGGAAGGGGAGGAGTGAAGAAGGGTTGAGGAGAAGGAAGAGAGGTGAGAGGGAAAGGGTGGAGGAGGAAGAGACAGGGTGGAGGAGAGGAAGAGACAGGGGAGGAGGAAGAGAGGGGAAAAGACAGGGTGGAGGAGAGAGAGAAGAGACAGGGTGGAGGAGAGGAAAAGAGACAGGGATGGAGGAGAGAGGGTGGGAGGAGGAAGAGACAGGGGGAGGAGGAAGAGAGGGTGAGAGGAAAGACGGTGGAGGAGGGAAGAGACAGGGTGGAGGAGGAAGAGACAGGGTGGAGGGAGGAAGAGACAGGGTGGAGGAGGAAGAGAGGAAGAGACAGGGTGGAGGAGGAAGAGAGGAAGAGACAGGGTGGAGGAGGAAGAGGAGTGAGGAGGAGAAACAGGGTGGAGGGAGGAAGAGACTTGGTGGAGAGGAAGAGGAAAACAGGGTGGGGAGGAGAGAAGAGACAGGGTGGAGGAGGAAGAGACAGGGTGGAGGAGGAAGAGACAGGGTGGAGGAGGAAGAGACAGGGTGGAGGAGGAAGACGGGGAGGAAGAGACAGGGTGGAGGAATGAGAGAGGAAAGAGACAGGGTGGAGGGGAAGAAGACAGAGGGAAGAAGTGCAGTGCTGCTTAAACTGGGAGGATATGGCAGAGGAAGGGCTAAAGTCAGAGACTCCACTTAAGCTTCCTGCACAAAAGGGTAATCCTCCCCATAATATGAGGCGTCTTTTGAACTGTCGAACACTTTGGAGTTTCAAACGGCTTCTTGAAAAGAATGTGTGGGATTGTGTTAACATATATTACTGCCTTGTCACTGCAGACTTCACACACCCACTCAAACATTAGCACCTTCAGAATACTTAACCCCACAGCTCTAGAGAGAGAGGATATTCTGGTGCGGAGTGAGTGACTACATACCCATGCCCAATCCATTACTGCATTGTCAGTAGTATGCTGGTGTTGAACTTGGTTCTATCTGAGACGCGTGAGGCTTTAGTTTCCATCGCAAACTCCACAAAACCATACTCAATATGAAATGGTTGAGTCTGGTGTGGATAGACAAAAATGTTCATGTGCATGCCTGCTCGACCAGTTTGAGGTCCGCGAAAGGAGTATGCTGGTGTGGATATTGAAACAGAGCCCATGTCTATGTTCATACCATACAGCGCTACTTACAGTAGAATGTATGCCCAATACATTTCCTCATTCTACGTAGTATGCTAGTGTGGACAATGAAACAGAGCCAGTGTCTGGCTGTGTCCGAATACCCGTACTCGGTAGCCATTTTGGGTATGCGTAAATAAAACGTTTTATAGTATGACATTTCAAAAATGTGATGTCATACTCTTATCTGCTTGTCATCTAGCAGAATTCGCAACATGCTATTGAGGAAAATAATTGTCTTTTCAGACCCACAGCTGTTTTGACAACAGCTGATAATCAGATAAGAGGATGTGCTATACCAAAATGAATGAATGGTGGTAAACAACGCAACTGCGCATTAGATTAAGAATTCTCAGTATGGGTGAGTCTGGTATGTTGATATTTGTTGCTTACTGCATACATTTTTCGTAAACAGTACGTTCAAAATCGTATGTAGTATGATTAGTACGCAGTATGTACAGTGGGGAGAACAAGTATTTGATACACTGCCGATTTTGCAGGTTTTCCTACTTACAAAGCATGTAGAGGTCTGTCATTTTTATCATAGGTACATAGGTACACAAAAATACAGAAAATCACATTGTTTGATTTTTAAGTAATTACAGAGATCATACGTTTCCTGTAGGTCTTGACCAGGTTTGCACACACTGCAGCAGGTATTTTGGCCCACTACTCCATACAGACCTTCTCCAGATCCTTCAGGTTTCGGGGCTGTCGCTGGGCAATACTGACTTTCAGCCCCCTCCAAAGATTTTCTATTGGGTTCAGGTCTGGACACTGGCTAGGCCACTCCAGGACCTTGAGATGCTTCTTACGGAGCCACTCCTTAGTTGCCCTGGCTGTGTGTTTCGGGTCGTTGTCATGCTGGAAGACCCAGCCACGACCCATCTTCAATGCTCTTACTGAGGGAAGGAGGTTGTTGGCCAAGATCTCGCGATACATGGCCCCATCCATCCTCCCCTCAATACGGTGCAGTCGTCCTGTCCCCTTTGCAGAAAAGCATCCCCAAAGAATGATGTTTCCACCTTCATGCTTCACGGTTGGGATGGTGTTCTTGGGGTTGTACTCATCCTTCTTCTTCCTCCAAACACGGCGAGTGGAGTTTAGACCAAAAAGCTCTATTTTTGTCTCATCAGACCACATGACCTTCTCCCATTCCTCCTCTGGATCATCCAGATGGTCATTGGCAAACTTCAGATGGGCCTGGACATGCGCTGGCTTGAGCAGGGGGATCTTGCGTGCGCTGCAGGATTTTAATCCATGACGGCGTAGTGTGTTACTAATGGTTTTCTTTGAGAATGTGGTCCCAGCTCTCTTCAGGTCATTGACCAGGTCCTGCCGTGTAGTTCTGGGCTGATCCCTCACCTTCCTCATGATCATTGATGCCCCACGAGGTGAGATCTTGCACGGAGCCCCAGACCGAGGGTGATTGACCGTCATCTTGAACTTCTTCCATTTTCTAATAATTGCGCCAACAGTTGTTGCCTTCTCACCAAGCTGCTTGCCTATTGTCCTGTAGCCCATCCCAGCCTTGTGCAGGTCTACAATTTTATTCCTGATGTCCTTACACAGCTCTCTGGTCTTGGCCATTGTGGAGAGGTTGGAGTCTGTTTTATTGAGTTTTGGACAGGTGTCTTTTATACAGGTAACGAGTTCAAACAAGTGCAGTTAATACAGGTAATGAGTGGAGAACAGGAGGGCTTCTTAAATAAAAACGAATAGGTCTGTGAGAGCCGGAATTCTTACTGGTTGGTAGGTGACAAATACTTATGTCATGCAATAAAATGCAAAGTAATTACTTAAAAATCATACAATGTGATTTTCTGGATTTTTGTTTTAGATTACGTCTCTCACAGTTGAAGTGTACCTATGATAAAAAATTACAGACCTCTACATGCTTTGTAAGTAGGAAAACCTGCAAAATCGGCAGTGTATCAAATACTTGTTCTCCCCACTGTAGGTAGTTTTAGTAAGTAGCATAGGCAAGACTGACATGGCCTCTATGTTCCAAAGTCCATACCAGCATATGCTTAGAATGCATGTCCATTGCCCAATGCATTACATCATTTTACATAGTATGCTGAAAAAGAGCAGCATGGATTCCCAGCAGTATGCTAGTGAGGACATTGAAACAGAGCAGCATGCATTCCCAGTAGTATGCTAGTGAATCCTGGAGGAAATATACAACAACTATCCATCACATTATTCCTAATAGTATTTGGCCTTTTAAAAAGTCTCCGCCATGATTTTAACTCTCCTCCAGAGCCCATGTAGCCTGGCACCCCAATTAAAGGGCTAAAACATGACGGGCCCATTAGCGCTCATTAGTCTGACGTCTTGTCATCGGCTGGAACAGATAGCACCGACGGATCAATAGAGCCACCACTACCAGTCATGGCATGTGTCACTTTGATTATGTCCTGAGCTGAACACAGAGTCCTGGGCTGCAATCGTCTAGTTTTGTCCGAATGACAGTAAATTGTTGGGGCGGATTTAGCACCGAATTCCACGTGGTCGAACGCTGCGCTTTGGATTAGGTCAAAACATTTGGGGCTCCATTTGAAGCCAGGCTCGTCCAAAGACCCTCCTAACACTATATTATCTGATGCCTCTCTGGAGCAGCCTAGTAAAACCTCCCTATATCGAAGTTCCATTCAAACAACTAGACAAAAATCACATTACTTAAATCTATTGCAACAGTACAAAAATGCAACCTAGTACAACATGTCTTGGAGCAAATGGCGATGGAACCTACTCTTCTGGAAAAGGAAGATATGACGCTCATCACTGAGGAAGAAAACATTCTCAATCTCGCGTCTTTAGCAAAAAAAAAATTGGAAAATGCAGAATGAACATATCATTTGGCCTAGCTAGGACAGCTGAGTCTACAACAGCAGAGAAGAACAATGTCCTTGGCATTATGGCTCTGTGCCTCTGGCTGGTACACCCCTGGCTTCAGCAAGTTAACACCTCTGTCAGTATGGGGACAAGGCAGCCGATGCCAGGGCTGGATGATGCCCAGTAGCTCCATCACTTACGAGCCCCAGAGGCCAAGCTCTTGAAATCTACAGTTTGAAGTCCATCCACCCAATGAAATGGTGGTGAAATCACTAATATAGTACCCGGCTTCATTGTAAGCTGCCATGGCGCCATCTCTCTGTTGTCGTATAGTTTGGACAATTGGACGGTGCAATGAGGGGGGGTGATGGATCTCAGTCAATTCATTACTGTGGAACAATACTGTAATATAGTGGAGATGGATGAAACCATCTGTCATCAGAGTCCTAGCACATCACATAACCAATCCCACAAAAATACATTCCATCCCCAGTGATACATCCCCCCCATCTTAATCATCCATTGTGTCAAATCCATGTATGCCTTTCCCATTCATTCACTTGAATATGTGAGTAATAAAAGATGACTATCACACGCATTCATGAAGACTCCATGAGAAATGTAATATGCACTTTTCCAGGTCTCTCTTGCTTTTAGTGTAAATGTTTGAGTCCCTGGGTAGTTCTGTAGTAGAGAACGTCAGATGATTTCTCCTCTGGCTGTTTCCCCCAATGGGGAGCTCCTCTTCACTCGGTGTGATTGCACTCATTTGCACATGGAAAGACCTGGACAGAACAACGTGCCGCTGCCTAAAGAAGCCTTGCGTCTGAGCGCGCGTGACGGCGCCCCACCTGCTCCGCTCCGGCAAATTTAAGGCAGTGGAGTGGAAGTCTAAGAGGTGGAGGCTTTAACAGGAGCCGTAGAAATATAAATGCTAGAAGGGACAAAGCCCCACCGTACCACGGCAACTTGACTGGTACACTCATGGCTACACTCAATATGGTCGCCTGTCCGCCCTTCAAGTAACGTTGACTTGAATGGTAATGTCCGTTCTAGTCATTCTAATGATATGGCACAGACAATGCTGTACGTCAGTAAACTGGATCTGGGGATAGTGCAGTGGTGATCTCACCTGAGGTCGAGGGTGGCCCGAGACCAGACAAGCTAGCTCCAGGGTCTCTCCCTCCCGGATGGTGTAGACGCGCTCGGTATAGCGCTCCTCCTCGATGTTGCATGCGTGGCCAGAGTGGATGATTCGGACTGTAGGAGGTGCTGTTGAGGAACAAAATATCAAATAAATTAATGTCAGGTTCAATGAGAAACACAGACGTAACTGAAGTCATATCAATCCTTTTTAATAAAAGTGGAAAAGTGGATTATATCACAATCGATTAAATATAAACACATCTGGAGACCTTTTTTTGGAGAGGGTAGTGCGTAATGCCCAGTACATCCCTGGGGCCAAGCTTCCTGCCATCCAGGACCTCTATACCAGGTGGTATCAGAGGAAGGCCCTAAAAACTATCAAAGACTCCAGCCACCCTAGTCATAGGCTACCGCACGGCAAGCGGTACCGGAGCGCCAAGTCTAGGTCCAAAAGGCTTCTTAACAGCTTCTACCCCCAAGCCATAAGACTCCTGAACAGCTAATCATGGCTACCCGGACTATTTGCACTGCCCCCCCACCCCATCATTTTTACGCTGCTGCTACTCTGTTAATTATTTATGCATAGTCACTTTAACTCTACCCACATGTACATATTACCTCAATTACCTCGACTAACCAGTGCCCCCGCACATTGACTCTGTACCTGTACCCCCTCCCTACTGTTATTTTATTTTACTGCTGCTCTTTAATTTATTTTGTATTTTTTTACTTAACACTTTTTATTTTCTTAAAAACGGAATTGTTGGTTAAGGGCTTGTAAGTAAGCATTTCACTGTAATGTCTACACCGGTTGTATTCGGCGCATGTGGCATATAAAATTTGATTTGATTTGACATGCATTTGACTCGACATTACAAACATCAAAGTGTAAACATTAGTAAAGAGACTAGTCAGATTTACATTTGCTATCAAAGAGCGTTGCAATAGCTAATTAACTTTACATATCTGAATTGTTTTGCCCCACAGTTAGCCGAGTTAGTTTGTTAGCTAGCTAGGTGAAGTTGTTCACAGTTAGAACTAAAGCCACAGTCCATATAACAAGCGTGTAAAAACGGTGAGAAAAGTATGGCTAAAGTCAGTCCATATAGTCTCGCGTTGCCATACCTCAAAAATCACGTTGTCACGCCTCCCTTGGAAGTCTGGAGAAATTTGAATCGCAAAAAACGGTTTGAATGGTCCGCTGGTTCCCAACGGCAAGATTTTGATTGGATGTTACATTACAAGAACCCTCCCCCCCAACACGCCCGTAGAAGAGGCGCTATGTGTTGTGTGCATCACTGTTTTCCGTCCGGGTAGTTGTTGTTGCCTGTGCTCGTTTCAAGTTATCAAGTGTATATTTATTGAAATTGAAAGTGGATTACGCTGGTACGTCAACGTCACGAAAATACAGTAAAGATGACCAATTATTTTGTTTTTGTAAGGACCCACCAAAAAACGGAGGCTGTGAGAGAACCCATTCAAGTAAGTAAATGCATTTTTTTTAAATGTTAAAAACCTATGTATTATTAACTATCTAGCTGGCTACAGTAGGCCACTTTGTAGGCTAACTCAACTGAGCTGCCAGCTAGCTAGCTAACTTTACACACAGTTTAGCTAAGTGAATTAAATGTCATCAGCTAGCTAACCTCCTATTAGCTAGCTATCGTGATGTAATAATTGTACATTAAAAACAGTCTCCAAATGCATTTGTAGATAACATCCATGGAAGAGAGTGAAATTGCAGCTCCAGCTGTCAGTAAAGGGAGAGTGTTGGCTACTGGACAGGGCAGGTCATTTTGTGGGAGGACATTATGAAAATATGTTCCAGTTCCTAGAGGGGAAATCTTTGAGGACAGAGCCACATTTATATTCAGTGCTGTCTAATTTCAGTATAATGAAGCCGGTTTCATTGTGACGTTTTCTGTCCTCAGATATGGAAAGCTGTGAAAGCCTGTTTGCAGATGAAGAGAGAGGTTGTAAGAGACTAAGGGTATATCCTATATGCCATGGGTTATATGTGTAGGCCTACCTACAGTATGTTAGCAAATGTTGTATACGAAAATACAGTTAAACATCACACACAATGTATAAACCTATTACAATTGGAGCAGGCCAACCCTGCAGGATGTCTGCTGGGTGTGCAGGGTTCTGTTTCAGCCCAGCAATAACAAACAAGATTTAACTTATCAACCCTAATGAGTTGATAATCAAGTGTGCTATTGCTGGGCTGGAACAGAAGTCTGCTCACCCAGTAGATCAGGGATCAGTGGAGCGAGGTTGGCCACAGCTGGTATGGAGTTTTTTTTTGTTCACCTGAAATTATGCTTTAGTAGTAATAGCCTACATGTGACCACTCAGTTATACGTTGTTGTTTAGACTAATATGTCTAATCTTTACATACGAGTTAGTTTATTTGTACATTTTGAAGTGATGAAGTGTTGATTCTTTGAAGTGAAGTGTTTAAACTGGTTTTAATTGTTAAACTACTATCCAAAATGAACTAGTGTCAATGTTGATTTAATCACAGATTACAATCATACAATAAAGAGGGGAAGAGGTTCTATCTCTGTGTCTGTTCTGTGTTGTATTCTTAAATTGAACATTTCCCTTTTTGTCTAGTTTGATTGTCACTCTGTCTCAGTATACCAGCTAGGTCCTCTGTAGCTCAGCTGGTAGAGCACGGCGCTTATAACGCCAAGGTAGTGGGTTCGATCCCCGGGACCACCCATACACAAAAAATATATGCACGCATGACTGTAAGTCGCTTTGGATAAAAGCGTCTGCTAAATGGCATATTATTATTATGTGAATCCATTTAGCATCTTATCATTTGGCATGCATCGCCAATGCAGCCAGAGACCTACAGTAGGATGTAACTACTGGTCTTATTCGCATCTGTTATCTGAAGCAGAGAATAGCTAAACTCACACATTGTTTACATGTTGAGCTATATGTTCTCAATTTAAAATGATACCAGTAGACAATGTGTATGAGGCAAACCATATACCAGATTTTGTACATGCCTTTTAAGTGCCGACATATAAAAAGAAGTGCAAATCCAACCCTTGTAATTTTAGGTACAAGATGAAAATAAGATGACGACAATTAGGCTACAGGAGATGAGCATTACAGGTAACATTTTATGAGATTCCTTTAATTTCATTCATTTTAGCAATGTTGCTTGCTAAATGAATGCAATTCCCATAGTTAGACAGTACATGGTTGCTCTACGCATCACTGACCCTGGATAAGCTAGCGACTGGGCTAACACAGCTAAACATTTAGGTCAATAATATGCTGGTTTTATTTTTATTTAATGTTGGCTTAATAATCGTGAGAGAAAATGAACTAGCTAGTAGCTAGTTAACAAGGTTAGCTGACTTTTCTTAAAATGAACCTCATTGTGGATAGCTACTTGTCCCTCATCCTAGCCTTTACAGCCAAATATCACTTCAGAAAAATATTGATATGGCCGGCATTGTAGACTCTCCCCCCTCTTGCTGCAGCTAAGCGCATCTCAAAATAACATAAATGCTGTGAAAACCAGTGTGCTGGCAACGCTCTAAAACGCTTGTTTTGTTTAAATGTTTTGCCCTCACGCACTGTTGCTCCTAGGCACTAATCTAGTGAGCTCCTATGGAGCTCCGCCCTAGCAAGGAATTTGATTGGTTTGACGTGTTGCAAGGCGTCACTGATTTATGCTGGGTTCTGACCCCTCTAGCTGATTTCTGCCGTAAAACTTCCCCAGGCTCCCGGTTTGTGGTTCGCAACGAGGCTACAGTCCATATAACTAGCATGTAGAAACAGAGGTATGGCTAAATTCGCAGTCCATATAACTAGCGTGTAGAAACAGTGAGAAACAGAGGTATGGCTAAATTCGCAGTCCATATAACTAGCGTGTAGAAACAGAGGTATGGCTAAAATCACAGTCCATTTAACTAGGGCAATTTGTTTTCCCCCTGGTCAAGTCACATGTTCATGAAAAACGTCTGCCTCTGCTACGGATATTATTCATCTTTTGAAACAGGAGATAAAAAATAACTTTCTTATTTGACTTCACAAAGCTGTGCACAGGAGACAGACCAGCCGGGATGTCCCCCCCCCCCCCCCCCCCCCCCCATATGAACAGCCAGAACTGAAGCCTTCAGTATCACAGAGCTGGAGTCATTCCCCCAAGTAGCTCTGAAATTAATGTCATTTTCTACTATCCCTTTTGAGGTAGTCTCCTATTGTGTAGAGTAGTTTAGTGCAATGTGTTTAAAATGTGCTGTATGAAATGAAAATAATGGATTTAATGTTGAGAATGTGTATCGGGAGGCCATAACGCAACATAAGAAAACTTTATGAGCCGGGAAAATATATGTTTTTACTCATACTGTGGGGCAAAAAGTCACAAAAAGCACATAGCAATCAGTTATGCTAATAATAAACCACAGGCCCGAAATAGCCAACGAGCTAAAGGTTACGGCTGTTCCATCGGATTGCACAACAAAGGGAAAAACTGAAAGTATTGTACTTCCTGTGTGCCAGCTGCCTGCAACGTACCCTGGCCTACTTTTCTATTATCTATTTTTAGAGAATGAGTCCCTTTTCCTCCACATGACTCTGCTAATGTGGCTCTCCTGTGATGTCAGTCTTCTCCGTAGCGTGCCTCACCAAAATATGGCCCCATAGGATGACAATGACGCGAGTTCCCATTTCCTTGGTTCAGTGAGTAGCATATGTTCAGGGTTTAACATATGGAAACGTGTCTCGTGTGGATTCAAATAGAAGACAACGACCTCGTAGAAAAGAGCGGCAAACAATTGGGACGTGTGTTCGTGGAGCCTGCATTCGCCCACATAAAAAAAAACCACTACAGTTTACTATAGAATGCTGTAGTATACTGTATAATCCTATACTCCACACTGTAGTATCACTCGATCGTGTAGTGCTTACTAAATAATCTTGTAGTATACTATAAGACACACAGTAGTATCCCTCGATCGTGTAGTGCTTATTAAATACTGTTTTTATCGATTGGACTGCTAGCTAGCTTTGTCGATGCGGTTTTGATTTGTGCTGTCCTTGGGGAGATCATGCCGGGGATTTCCTCTTGAGGTTCTCCCTCGATTGTGTAGTGCT